AAGAGACTCTATAACACTTCTCTCTTCCTACCTAGAGATTTCTGAGTCAAACACCTACTAAGGCTGGCACCTCACTGTAAATGCTGGGCTGCGGTTTACCTTACCTACATCAGAAATAAATACCCAGAGGCAGCAGCGTCCTGATATGATGTCCTTTTGCCCTGCAGTGCCAGACCAAAGGTGGTTCTGCCCTGTAAAAAGTACCTATTTTCCAAGAAAGGTCCTTTTCCCGACCACGTCCCACCACCCGATTGCCTTCACCCCGTGCCGGGATGTGTATTGAAAGAAGATGGTGAAAGATTTAATTTTCCTTTGGGAGATGCAATTACAGCAGAAATACTGCAGGAGAGGCACACTCTCAGACTCTGGCTTCTCAGTATCTCATTATTTATTACAAATGTAGCAAACATTGGGAGTCTACAACCAGCTTAGAGTGCTCATAAATTAGAGGCTGTAGGACTACTTTGGGGGGAGAAAAAAAGGAAAAGAAAGAAAATCGAGATCCAGATTTGCAGACGTCTTCCTTGAGGCATGGGGGAAATAGGAGGCAGAGAGTAGATTCGGGGTGATTTTCGATAACACAAACGTGGAGAGAAAAGGTCCTCCCTCCCCCTCCTCAGGTGGGGCCATGGGACGGGTCCTGTCCTGGCGACAAAAACCGGTCCAGTTCCCGTGAAGAAGGGAATTGAAAGGAAAAGGGAAAACGTGAGGGAATTGCTGGAAAATATCCTGAGGAAAGATAATCCCTTCTATGTCTATAAAGCCCTGGCCATGCATGAGGGCTCCCTCCCGCCGCCCTGCTGCGGGTCGGTGCGAGGCACCCGGGAGGGACCAAGAGGAGAAGATGCTCCTTTTCTCCTTCTCCTATTCCTTCTTCTTCTCAGTCTCCTCCTCTCTTCCTGCCTCTGCAGTAAGGGCTCGCTCCCGCCCCGGGGGATCCCTCCGGAGGGTTTCTAACGCCGCACTGGGACCCTCCAGGATACCGCCTCCTGCCTGGGAAAAGCAGTGCCTTTCCCACCCCCGCCTGCCCGCTCCCACCGGTGACGAAAAACCCTCGAGACGAGCCCGGTGGGCTTCTAAGCTAGCTTCTGCCAGCCGAGGGGTCCACGTCCTCTCCCCACTTCACTCAAAGACCCCTCCGCCAGGAACCCAGCAAAGCAATTCTTGCACCACCCCGCTCGGGCTGGTGCCGAAGGCGGGGTTGGGGAGGGGGGGACACCCGAAACCACAGCCAGCGGCTCCTCCCCGCCGGGCGCCAGCCTCCCTTCAAGGCATGCCCCGCTCAGCTCAGCCGTCGGGAGGTGGGGGCGGCGGCCCGAGGGGGCGGCCCCCTCCCCGGGAAGGTGGGCGCGTGCCTGTTCTGATGCCGGCTGCTCTCCCCTCCTGCAGGTACTGGGATGATTTCCACGCCTGCACCCTCACAGCGCTCACTGACTGCCAGGAAGGAGCGACAGACCTCTGGGAGAAACTGAGACGGGAATCCAAAAACCTCGATTTCCAAGGCAGCTTATTTGAACTGTGCGGAGGCGGCAGCGGCGCGGCACCGTCCCTCCTCCCGCCGGCCTTGCCCCTGCTCCTTGCGGCTCTGTGGGCCGCCCTAGTGACCTGGCTGCCTTTCTAGGGGGGCGAGCACACTCACACCCACACCTTCTCCATGTGCTGGATCTATAGAGGAAGTGTCCATCCGTTGCTTTGGGGACGTTGTGCTTTTCTGTGGTTGATGATGATGATGATGGTGGTGGTGGTGGCTGATGATGGTGAAACACCCATGTAGGACTGTGGAAGCGTTCTCCCTTTATTTTTTTTGTGTTTTATTTGCCAAATGTTACCAAACAGGCAGCGGCGGGCAGCCCAAATCGGACCTCAGCTTTACTAACGCTTCGAATCAAAAATAGAAACAAAAAATAAAGAAACAAACTCGAGCCCTCGTTGCGCAAAAGCAATCTCAGGAACGGCTCTGGGCCACCTACTGCTAAGGCTGTAACCGGCCGGGTACCTCCCGGCGAGCCACGGGCTCCGCTAAAAATGTGGCAGTGTGCGAGGCGAGAACAAAAACCGCAGACAGAAAAAGGCACTGGCGATAAATCCAAGGTAGATGTCCACGTGTGAAGCATATGGTGAATAATTCACAATCTCTCATCTTTCCTCCACAGTCGCTTGTTTTTTTTGGTCATTCCACTGCAAAAAAATTTAAAAAATAAATAAAAAAGAACATTTTTCCTCAAGGGGAAAAGAGCGAGAGAGGGAGAGAAAGAGAGGGAAACGAACAGTTAAGAAAGGAAGGAAGGAAGGAGCAAGCAAAAGAAAGACGTGTCTAAATGCCCGGAGGAGTGAAGGGATGCTGCTAACATCTCTGAGAGTTTACCTTTACTTGCTGTTCGAAGGCATCTTTCCGAATTCACTGCCTTTAATTTTTTCCTCCTCTTTGTTTTAGATGTTACACATACCAGTAAAATACCTGAATATCCAACCGTAGAGATCACAAAAAGGGGGCTTAAATGTAAACCTAAAGGAAAAAAAAACACACAGAACAACAGCGAAATGATTTTGAAAAAAAAAAAAAGAGTCTTGATTTTAAAAGAGATGAAATATGTAATTTAAACAAAAGTTTATTATAAAGTCAATTCAGCAAAAAAAAAAACCAAACAAAAAAAGATTTGCTACAAAGTATAGACAGAAGTATAAAATAAAAATTATTGTTTGAAATGAGGGTGTCGTCCTTTTTATAAAATATGCCTAGAATATCTTGGAAAGGACAGGGCTTTTAAGGCAAGGAAGTCTAAATCCTGAACTCATCCCTTGACGAACATGGCAATTTCAGTTCAAACAAGGACAGGGTGGCTGAGTCGCTTAGTCGGAGCCTTTCCGCTTTTTTTTTTTTTCTTTTCTTTCTTTTTCCCCCCCTTCATTTTTCTCTTAAAAATACGCTGCAAATCCTCCCACCCTCCTCCTCCTCTCGAAGCCGCGAACCGCAGCACCCTCGTTTCCCAGCCGCCCGGGACTGGCGAAGGGAGCCCCCCGCAGAGGAGGGGGCGGACGGCGCGGCTCTCCCGCGGGCGCGGAGCCGTGCAGAGCCCCGACGGAGGGAAGGCAGCAACCACCATTAAGGAGGAGGCTGCCGAGCCGGAGCCGGGGCGCAGAGGAGCCCTTTCATAATTAATAAGGCAGCTCAGCCGAAGAAGCAAGGGGAAGGGGGGGACGGGGTATTGATTTCGCAGCAGAAGCTGCTCTAACCTCGGCTATTTATAGGCGCCCGATGCCTTTATAAAGAAATGCACATCAAAGAGTAAACACGTCCTTTTTACTTATAAAGCAAGAGCCCAGCTGGCGACCGGGGGTGGGTGGGGGGGCGAGTGGGTGATGGGGAGGTAGGGGCCACGAGTTGGTGCGAGGTGATTTATTCCAGTGGGGAGCCGATCCCTGTGCAATAGCTCTCTTTACCAATGTGTAGGGTGGCAGGGACTCTCCTTCGTCCCCTCTCCCCTCCCTTCCCAAGGTCCGCAATGTAATGTGTAAGCAATAGCAAATGTAACAGTTCATAAATCAAACAGTGGGTCGCAAGCCAATCTGCATTTCCCAAACGAATTGAATCCCAGCAACGAATGTGCTCAGGAACTGGAGCCAGGCGCCTTTACCACTGGAAGCAATGTTGATTTTTTAATGATAAAATACATTATGCGTGTGTTAGGGGGGCTTTGCAGAGCTCAGCCTCGCTTCGTCAGACACAGGTCTGCTGGAATTTCGTTTTCTTTTGGCCTCCCGCTAGACTCAGTCCCCACCACCACCAAAGAAAAAGGAAAACCCTGGAGAGTAGAGCTTTGTTTAAATGGTTTGGGTTATTTTCCCTCCCCACAGAGGATACAGACCTAAATTGATTTTTCTGTGCACATCTCTGTATTCATGAGGTCAGGCGCTGCTGTTATGGTTTCCTGTAGCACGAAATGACAGATGCCGAGGAGAGACGGAAGAGAGAGCCCTTGCTGGGGCACGGAGAGCTCCGCAGCCTGTTGGCTACGCCGGCCGGGCTCCGGGGACCCTTGCCGGCGGCAGCCCCGCTCCGCCCCGGGGTGCCCGGGCGCACGTCCCGCCCGCTGCCGGCATTCCCGACACCGCCCCCGCCTTCCCGGCTGCTGGACGGTGCCCGTCCGTCGGAGAAAGGTGGAAGGGAGCCTCCCAGCTTTCCCTCTCACCCCTCAGAAGAAAACTGAAACGCCATAATAAGGGGGCGATTTCCAGCTCATTAGAGGACTCGAGTTATCTTCGCGTGAGGTTCAATTACTAATGGATAATCTCTCCGTAATTAGCACATCCCCCAATTAGCCCTCCATCGAGGAGGATAATAAACGGTGGCAAGCCGGGGAAAAACAGCCCAGCGGGTTGAGAAGGAGCCCTGTGGTCTTGCCCGGGCCCCTTCCCTCCCCTCCTGCCTCCCCCTGGACTCTCCTGTCTGGGGCCTCTAATTGTCGGGTGCCACCGGGCCTCCCGGGCTAGCCTAGCAGCACCCCGGGATTTCCCGCACAGACAGCAGGAAGTGTACCAAACCCCGGTCCCGCCGGCTCAGCTCCTCCTGGGCAACCGGCAAGCGAGGCTCTCCCCGAACACAATCAACAAACTCCCCCTCACCTTCCCCCGTTCATTTTATAAGAGCCCCTCAACGCGCGAGGCATTGGTTGTTCCCTTTCCTGCCCCTTTCAGGGGTTCTTTCTGAAGCCTGCGAGCAATAGTCGATTTTATTTATTTATTTATTTATTTATTTATTTTGCCCCCAGGGGTGGTTGCTCTGCCTTGCCTTGTTGTGTGGCCAAGGAAACATGAGCCGTCCGCCAAGTCCCAGAAAGGGACTGAGTGTACTGGATTTGCCTCCTGCCGCCTTGCACCTGTAGGGTTTGTAAGGGCTGCGGGGGAAGGCTGAGGTGTCGCTTGCCAGGCTGGTCCCACTGCCCCAGGCAGCAGCTGCTGTAGCAAGAGCTGGAAGAGGTTCAAACTTCTGAACATCCCTTCTTAACTCCTGGGCAAACGTGAGGTGGTGAACTAGAGAGGGGGAAAAAATGCAACAGAAAAGTATTTAAATGTTGACAGAGACCACAGTAAAATTATCGCCTACTAAAAAAAAAAAAAAAGCACACACACACACACACAAAAGCATAAATGCAGATCAACAGGGGAAAAACCCATAGCCGGAACAAAAAAACAAGCCAGTGCATTTCTAGCTGGCTGGATAATCGGGAAGCCTTGCAGCCATTGCGGCTCTGCCTGCCCTAATTCCTGTCCCCAGCTCCGACTGAGCAACCGCAGCCCCGCAGTCCCCGGAGGGCCGCGGGGAGCTGGCTCCTTCCCCGGCAGCACTGGATGCACCCGTGCTTGGCAGGCGGCTGCTCACCTCCTGCCTCCCCCTTTCCCCCTTTTAGCAGCCTGGCTGAGCCCTGGAGGCAGGGCTGCGCCTTGCCCCTGCCGGGGCTGCCCTCTGCCACGGCGAGACCGTACCAGCACTGGGCTGAGGTGGTGGTGGTGGTGGTCGATTCTTTTTGCTTTATAGGGGGGAAAAAAAAAGTCCTTTCCCATCTGTTCAAAGGCTGTAACAGGGAGATGGAGCAGGCCTGTGCTGGAAGAAAAAGCTTGAGCACAAATATACAGAACTGAGGAAAACCTATATATGAATGGTAGTGAAGGCAGACTGGTTGGTGCTTACAGAGGGAGCAGGGGGAGGTATGGTATAAAAGTAAGCTGCAGTACTCACTTCACAGGACTTTCTGGTGACTATGTCTATGTTTCAGAAGCAGCAGCCAGATACTGTTGGTCCCTGGCTCATTTGCACAGTCTAGGGATGAGTGGATTGGTGACTCTTCCAGCCCACTTCCTCTTCAGGACCCTTTTTAAATCTGTGCCATTGCTGTCCTACCCAGTGAAACCCAGCAGATTCTGTGAAGGGCTGACAACCTAAGGAGAAAGAGGCCAGTTCAGCCTTCCTATTCATCAGGGCTGATTAATTAATGATTAGTGCCATTAGGTGTACTACAGCAGTGCCTGAGGGCCCCAATTAAAGGAAAGTGAGCTTGTTAAATCCAGAAAGCCAGATTCTCCCTCTGTTACTCCTGCCTGATGCAGAGGTAGTGTCCCCAGGGTGGGCAGCAAGAATAACCCCGGCTTTCTAGGTATGCAGCCTCTGTGCCTTTCCCCCTCACTCCTCCCACTTTTCCCTCTCCTTCACCTTAGCTGCAGATCCTGCCTACAGGGTGCTGCAGAGAGAGGCTAGTGCAGGAGTTGGCTACCAGGACTCGCAGGAGGAGGTGGCAAATCAGGTTATTTTTCTGAGCCACTTCATTTTTCATCACGAGTGGGTTTGGGTGGTTTTTTTTGGTTTATTGGTTTTTTTGGTAGGTTTTTTTTTTGGCAGGGTTGGGGGCAGGCAAAGTGATAAGGACTGCAGAGGAGTCTGTTACAAAATCAGATACGATTTTAGCTGTCTGAAAGAGTTCCTTTAGGCTACAGGCAGCTGATGATCAATGGTGCTGCTGGCAAATGTGCTTCCAGCTGGCTGCTGCCTCTCTTGAGGGACAGTTTCAACCCAAGGCTCATTGCAATCGTGACACCACAAGGGGCTTTCATTTACTTTGGGCTAAGGATCTTCTGCTGCCCAGTTCCACCAGCGCGAAGAAAAGCTGGAGGTGATGTGGGAGAGTGACAACAGCACTGTTATTGGTGAGTTATTGGTTGTTCCTTTCCCCTCAGATTCCCATGGTGGGTCTGTGTAAAAGATTTCGCTCAAAGCCCCATACTCCTGAACTGTGGGTTTGCTAACAGATGGGCAGATTGTGCTAGCATAGGCTTTGCCTTTCAGGAGTTACTGAAAAAATAGGTTTAAGTGCTTTAAATTATCAGAAACCCAGCCTGTGGCCTGTGGCCTAGCTTTTTAGGCTTTATTGTTTGTTTTATTTTGTTTGTTTGCTTATCTCCAAAGCTGATATAAAACAAAGACTGAAACAGCCTCCCGAAGGTCAAGGTGAGACTGACCATCATCTGAGTGCTGATATTCACCAGCAGCAATAAATCCTTGTTCCCAGGTGCTGGAAGTCTCTTCAGCTAGAAAAACAACATTACTGCAGGGGCAAACTCCCGGCCTTTACACAGCCATTCTTTGGGAAAAAGTATCGCCTGAAGTCAATATGCATTCTGCCTAGGTAAGGATTTTGTATGCTCGGTTTTACCTGAAACAGGAATGTTATTCAAATATGAACTCCAGGTTCATGCTACCAAAATACAAAGTGCTTGCCTGTGCATCATGCTTTGCACCTTCAGGTTTCTTGGCTATCATACCAGTTTATTAAGGACTGTGAAAAACTTACTAAATCTCTCAAGCATCAAAGATCAAATCTGCAGGGCACCTTTTTTGCTGTGAAGCAGCCTCAAGAGTGGATGGGCAGTGTGTCCTTCAATACCACTTTAATACCACCATTTTTTTTAACACTTTGGAAACTACTGGATATTCAAATTGACGGAGGGAACAAAAAAACCAAACCTCAGTCAACCAAACTAGAAAAAAAAAAAAAGAGACATAAGAAAGCATAAGAAGGAAGCAACCACTTATATTGATAGGAGTTGTTTTAAACAGATTTATCCCACCTTAAACCATCTATTTTGCTGCAGGCACTGTCGGTAAGTTTCCTTTAGGTACATGGTATAATTCTGCCAAATACACCTCTTCAAGA